TCACAAAAACATCTTTCCTATTTGAAACTATTTTTTCAATTGCCAACTTCTGATGATGATTTAAAGTGGGGATTTTGAACTTGGAAGACACCAAAATAAAGGCTCCTTCGAGCGACGCCATGTTGGTTTCACTATCAGTAGCCGATAGAACACGAGTTGTCATTGGACAATTAGTCTCGGCGCGACCGCCTCAGTAATGTTGTGATTGGCTAATCCGCGGAAACAAATGGGGTTCGGGTTTAAGCAGCCGTTAGTGGGGGAGAAGCGTTGCGTGACGACCCTAATAACGGCTGCGGAGGAGACTACAATTTTTCTAAAATGGCACATGTTTGTAACATCAAGGTGCCTGAATCGTCTTCCTCTTGTCCTTTTACTACTGCAAAAAGTTTTTAAAATTGTTCCCTAGGTGATTCAAAATCGGTTCGTTTAAAAATAAAAAAAATAAGTGATTTAAAAAAGAATGAAAAAAGTAAGTGATATTAACAGGGTCTTTCGACTGAGATATTTAGAATTTAATTTTTAGAGAATTTCCGGAAATAAATTTGGGCCATATTACGTGATATTTGTGGAGAGGCCTTGCTGATTAATAATTAATTTCCAATCACAATATTAATAAATTATAAAGCAGCTGACAGCTGACGAGAACAACGAAAATAATAGCAGCGAGAAATAGTCTATTTTGTGAAACACTAAATTCTCATAACTAACGTCGAGGAAAATGTAAGGAAACGGAGAAGGGGAAATTAAGAAGTGCATCACTCACCTCAATCTCGTTTTCCTCTCTCAGTAAGTTTACGGCAGACGTTCTTTAATTAAAAAAAGTTAACTCAAAATTAATTAAATCGGTGTCACTACCTTTTAGTGGATCAGTTTTACAACGCGCGAAATAGTCAAAGTCTTGCCCTAATTTCTGACAAACATCACGTAGCCAAAAATAAAAAAGATGATATTTCACACCATTCAACTTTTGAAATCAAACACAAAGCCCGCATTGATAATTTACACTTCAAACAATAAAGATACAGCAGTAGGCTACAAAACGTTTTCATTTAAGTATGCTTTCGGAATTACACTTACGCAGTAGACAAAATACTATATGGCGATGTTATCAAAATACTGGTCTACGTTGTAAGTTGAAAATTAAAATTAATGCTTTAAATTGTATTGCCATATGTGTGTTTTCTTATAAACCTACCGCTTTATATTACACATGAAGCTTTAGAGTGCTTTCAAATCCGGAACTTGGCGGAACTGAGACGTCACAAATCAAAACTAAGTCCAAATCACAAAACGTTTCAAAAAAAAAAAAGATAAATGAACACTTGAGTCGACTTAAAACAAAAAAACATAAATCAACGAATCACTTTACTCAAAAAACAGGAACATTCAGCTATATACTGAGTCTAGTCCAGCCTTCAGTTGTGTTTTACTTTGGTTTGTTTGCTTGTTAGAGATAAACGAGTGGGATCAATTTTGAAACCTGGTAGGCCGGTGTTTGAATTTCTTTCAATGAACTAAAAAAACGCAACTAAAAAACCGAACTTATTTTCGTTTTCTGTAGGTTTTGATCACTCGTGTTGCATAGACGCCATCTGTAATAAACATTGGTACAGTTACTGCACAAACATCCGAGGTGAGTGGCAAGAATCAAAACTGGAAAGGCCGCTGTTCATAGTTAGATTAATGAACTTTGACTTCTTGGCGAATTTCATGTTACACTAACAGGGGGGAACGATGGTACTATCTAAAAGTACACTTCGCTACTGCTTTTTATTAGAAAATCAGCATTCAGATGCATTACGTAGTTGCTTTTGATTTTCGTTTTGCTTACTGTTCGCATTTTGAATCATAGGTGGGATAAAGTCGAGCTCTTTTTCTGTTTCTTTACAGAGAATGCGTCAAGATTTTTGGCTGAAACGGTTAAATGAGAATGTTCAAAATTGCCACTGATCATGCAAATTGATTTTCTTGTAAAGATACATGTTTTGTCATGCGTTTTTTCATGGTAGCTCGCTAGATTTACGCTGTGATCTACCGGCAACTTTTTGTCATACCATTGAAATTTTGCAAAATGAAAACTGACAGGCAATCAGTTTAAACCTGTCTGAATGCCTGCATGAGAAGTATAATCAAATATTGGCTGCGTTCTTGCAATCTTGTCGTTAAAACACAGCTAAATAATAGACTGAACAGTGGTCAGGGGAAGCAAACATGACCCTTTTCCTTCTTGTCCTCACATGTAAACTAACATGTATTTTTAAATTTAATTACTGCGGCATATATGGGAAATTCTAACCCTCAGCCACTCCCTCAGTTTGAAAGCAATCAACGTTATCAAGGCTGTAAATAAGACGACTGTTTTTTTTTTTTACTATAAATAAGATTGTTTTGCTGGTTGCTTGCAATTGTCGGGTAACTCAAATGAAACCGAAAACACGGCAGTCAAAGAAAGCCGAGCAAAAACCAGAAACCTTTTGTAAGAACATGTATTTTGTCACGCGCCATTTTGGACAACCTCCAGGCAGCTATTTCCGCTGAGGGGTTCGTCACGAAAAACAAATTAAACCAAATCACCGTCTAGTTGTGTCTACAAGCACAAAAGCTTCCTCGTACATTACCTAATTATGTCTGAAAACTTACAACTAACCCACCCCCACTATGTCTGTATAGCTTACAAAATATTCCCCAGTAGACTCCGGTTGGGTACGAAAAATATCACCAACGATAGACAAGTCTGAATACAGGTGAGAAAACTCTTTTGGACGGGAAACATAGGGGAAATGTCTTCAAACATTAAATAAAAACACAGAAAAATGCAATATTTGATATGTTAGCGCGTTCAAATTCAGTGAAACTAAAAGAGAATCCACGATAACGGTCAAACGCCGCGTCAAACGAAAACGGCTTATTTCGCCATTTGATTCACCCTGCATCCGTGCGAATTCTCTTAATATTTTCTGTCTGGCTTCTACCATTATATTATCATCACCTATTAATCAATTAGATTTTGACCTGGAGATTTGACCTGGAGCATAAAATATAATTGTTTTCGAAGAATTCTAAATTTTTTGAAAATAATTTCCAATTATTTCTCTGCAATTTAAGTAGTAATGCATTTTTCGCTTTAGCTACAACGCCTGGGGGCAAAATTAGCTCTAGGTGGATGTGAACTCGCGCTCATGAGTTCAAACGACAATTTTGAGCTCTTTGAGGGTCTTCAGGATGGATGTCTTTCTTTATATCCTCTCGGGAATTGAATTATCTAGTGATGTTTCTAAACCTTTATCGAAAACTTCGCAGAAACGAGAAAAAGTCAATAGTCCATACCTCTCTATCAAAGCGAGGCCTAGTGCTCAACCATTCATATGAAAATCTGTTTAATTTGCATGTGAATGAAATCTCATTTTCATATGAAAGGATGGGCACCAAGACTCGCTTTGAGGAAGAGGCTTAAGGTAAATCGGAAATGGCCTATTACATCAGTATACTGTACCATCTGGGGTGTGCCGTTATATGATTTATACACTCCAAACAATACCTCTCATCTTTCTTGTACTGGAATCCGCCATCGTTTTCATTTTTCTCCCTGGTGATCTCGGGTTCCTGGATACTGACCGTCTTCCTCTCGTCGTTTTCGTTGTGCTCTTTCATGTAACCAAGCTGAAATGTTGCATGTTGAGGAACAACTTCGTCAATCTGTAGTTATCAGGAAAAGCAAAATCGAGGTGTATGAGTAAAGTGAATTAATAGCAGGCCAGGCAAAAATGACTTGAACTGGGGTCGCCACAAACACATTACGAATCACTTGTAAGCTGATAGCCAACTGGTCTGCTTCCTGCCAGTTGGGATTTCTAACCATGTTATGTTCATTTGCACCATTTGTTTTATCATTTGGTTTCACTGGCCCTGTAAAGCCCCATTGGGGGAGTGGTCAATTAGGATTTATTATTTTATTAGTTTATTAATGGTGCATATGTTACATTACAAATTATGACAAGTCTCATCTCACGATAAAACCATCTGCATGAGGTCCCAGTCATGAATCGCAATTTGATTCCCTATGCACTGATACCGTTGTCTCTTTGCTTTCAGACCACACGTGTTACAAAAATCCCTGTGGCAGACCAAAATGTCACTAGCTTTGGGTAATAGAAATTGAGAATTTTCAGCAGTTCGTATAGTGAGGGTAGCTCTGAAAAGAAATGTTGTTGGTGACTGACTTTTTCAGTGACAGCCTGAGCGGAAGTTATCACCAAAGTCAAGTAAATAGTGTTTGTCAGTCGATGGTGTTATAAGTCTGGTCCGTTGAGTCGGATTGGTCAGTTAAGCCGTGATGGTATTTGCTGCAATACCCGTATAAAGTTTGCCGACAGTCATTGGTCAGTTTCAGCAAATTTCGATCCGTCTCCCCTTATTTTGGGTAAAAAAAAAAAGAAAAAAAATCACGAAAGGAAGAAAAGCCCGATAAGGCAAGCAAAACAAAACCCTCACCCCCCTCAGCTCAAGGTCTGGATCCGCCACTGTAATGTGAGTACAACCACTATATTCTAGCTGGCCGCTTGTTAACTAGTAACTCATTATGCTTGAACCCAGTCTTTCTTCATCCGATTTCGGTCTAGGAAAAGATTGGACAGTATCTCTCCTCGCCCAATACACCTGTACATAACGTTTGGGAATCAGCCAGGACCAGGAATTAAATCTAATAGCAACACATGTTATACACTATGAGGAATCCCTCTTTCGCTTAGTCTGTCGTGCGTGACGCGAAAGAAAACCGCGAGAAAAAAATGGTCGCGCGAAATCCTGGGGGCGAGAAGCACGCGCGCGTCTCGCCCCCAGGATTTCACGCGGCCATTTTTTTCTCGCGGTTTATTTACGGTCTCGCTCGACGTACTAAGTGAAAGAGGGACTACTCGTAGTCTAGACACGTAAGCTCTGCGTTTCACCTCGTCCGCCTGAGTATTATCCTGGTTGTTTTTCTCAAGTTGATTCTTAATGCTCTCATTCTTTATTTCACCCAACACCGCCTCAACAATCGGCACCATCATGGCTGTTGTAGCTGTGTTGCTGATCCACATGGAGAGAAATGCTGTCGTCAGCATAAATCCAAGCATCAAACTGCAAAACAAGATTAAATAGCGTCTTCATGCATTTGATTTAAAATCACGGGCAGAGAAATAGAGAATGGCGTGTGTGTGTTTCGGTTTGAAGATTCAGCTAGCTATCTGGCGAGTGAGTTACTGAGTTCAGTTCGAAAAGAAAAATAGCCATAGTTCGAATCTGTCTCGTTATATTCAAATGTTAACCTGACTACCGAGGCCAATTGTTGCTGTAATCTTTGTATCGATTAGTTTAAATATTTAAATATTTATAGTCTAGTTTTTCAATTTTATAGTCTAGTTTTTCAATTTTCAATTTTATAGTCTAGTTTTTGTACTTTTATTGAGTAGATCACATATTTAAATTTTACATTTTTAATTTAACATACACGTTCACATTTAAACGAGCCCCAGGCTCACTGGTGAAATGTGTCTAAATAAAGTACTTACATACTTACTTAGCTCATTAATATTTTATTTTAGGCTGTCAATCTGTCATTATCATTTTGAAATAACAACGTCTCCTTCAAAACACACACGGATATTTGCCTGCAGACATTATCTGTTGCCGAGTGAACAGCTCCCTGAGAGCCTCAAATAACAGATGTGCTCCAAGGACATCCGTAACTACGCTTCTAGGTTGATCAGGAGATATGGCAAATTGTTACACGGTTGATATAGCATTTCGTGGCAACGCATAAATTTTAAGCTTTCTGATTGGTTAAAACTCTTTTGCCGACTTTTATCATAAGAAAAGTCCGATTTCATTGTATTTTTCCGATAATGTGATACGATATATATATAAAATAATCACGTCCTCTCATCTATTGTTTTTGATAGGGGGCTAATCTGTAACGAAGCTTAGGCTGACTTCGAACAAAAATATTGGGAAAGAAAAACTTCCTGTACGATAAGTCACTCTAAATTTTGTAACCGCACGAACTTAGAACGCTAACAGTCACGGTGATATTACTGTCCTCCATTCCCTGCACAGCGCTAGGCCTGTGGTAGAAAATAATTTCACTCTGAAACCTGTTCCTGTTTGATCCGAGAAGTTCAAGACTAACGTATAATATATTTTGACACACAGAGAGCCGGTCTGCAACCAAGAGTTGACAAAGAAAATAACGGAATTCTAGGACTTCTTTTACTTGGATTACGAAAGGACAAAACGGTCGCTAGAAAAAGGTGGGTTTCCTTTTTAATTAAGTGGCAAAACTATATGTGCATGATATTGTTTTCGCAGCTTATTAAAAAAAAAAAAGGTTGACCATCGTCGAATAGTCATATTAACAGATTAGCGCAGCACTCTAAGACGCCAAATGGTGGATACCTATAGTACCTATTCCTCGACATCCTTTAAGAGAGAAAAATTCATTGCGGCATATACTGTGCAAGATATATTTCGTACTTGGTGGCTGTCAGTTAATGCTTGTGGAAACCATTACTGTCGTCAAGGTTCGAAAAGCTATGCACTGTTTGCACGTAGTTCTTTTTCTTTCCAGGCGGTTGGTCTCGTGAATTCCTTAAAGGGTAAAAACTATTCTTCTCACCAATGTGTCATATGGATATCAACAACCGATCGCTAGACTTCATAATTGGGAAAAAGGACTGTTGCGTTAGCAAGCAGTTTACACGCTTCACAACCTCGGGATAGAACTCTTCGCATTAATTTCCGTGGCGCACGTACGCACGTACGCACCCACCCACTTACGCACGTACGCACCTCCGAAAATCCAGAGAAAAAAAATAGATAATTATAGCGTCCGGTTGGATTGACAATCTCTAGGAACTCTCCTATTGAACCTAGTAACATGACATGTAAGTAGCATAAATTACTAAATATTCAACGTCAGTTCCAATGTTTGTTTTGATGTATGAAAGCATTGCTTGGAAAACGGCATTTTCCAGCCCCAAATGATATCATTTCCTGGGCACGCACTCAAGCCTCTCGAGACTTTGGCACTCCATTAACTTTATCTTGGTGCGTACTCCATGAAAAAAGCACTCCACGCCCCTTTATAAGCTTTATCCTAACGATTTTTAACGACTTCCGACGACATTCTGAGGATATAATTCAGGAAGATTAGACGAACATCATACGAACGTTTTCGGAGGTTTCTCGGCATTTCCGAAGATTACCGAGGAACATTCGATGTTTCGACTATACCGACCATCACTCATTGGCCATCCTCAGCGAACACGACACTTTGCTGCCTAAGTCTAATCATCCCACCGCATCCCTACCGCACCAACCTCGCCCCCTCTCCTCCCCCAACCCCTTTTCATCGACCGAACAGACACAAATTCATACCTGCGAGGTTGAGCTCCAACCAACAGGAGAACTCGAAGAGCAATTCGTTTGTGTAAGTTCCACTGCTCTACAGCGACTGCCACAATCAGGCCACCAAGGAAAAGCACGTTAGTATCCTTGAAGTAAGGAGTAGAGACTTGTTTAGAGCCCAGGACCCCAAACAAGGGGAAGAGAACCAATGGCAGAAGAGCTGTGACAGCTAACTCCACAACCTCGGTCACCCAATACACCGCCATGATCAGAATACAATACGCACAACGGGATTCCTGGTAAAGTAAAGGCAATGATCATCAATAAATCACACAATAAATAAATTGGCTCATTATATATACAGCTTAAAAATTTTAAAGTACAGCCGAGTTAAGGTCACGCAGGACCCTTGCTCAAAAATTCATTAGCAGAATTTCTTAAGTCCATAAAAAGAGGATAAATTTTTCAAATGCTTCCATTATTAGAAGTTGTTAGGCCCGCCACTCCCTGCTACTCTCTATAGCTTGATTCTGATTGCATGTTTTAAGTGATAAAAGTAGGCGGGATTTTTCTGGAGGCGGTGCTTTTCTCTCGTGGCTTGCAAAGCCCGTTGTGGCCGCTTCACCGCTGATTTTTGCGGCACCGCCGCTAAAACTTTACAAGCAACAATGCCACCACTGGACTATGACTACATTTGAAATACTTCTCGATCTTGGCTGCACAAATTTCGGACATTTCTCGGTTGCGTTTTCCCAAGGTAAAGCCTATTGGTGGCAATTTTGGAAGGGACAATTTCGTCCATAAATCCCCACCACGATCCGCTATTTCGTTAATTTTTCTTCGCTATCCCGTTTACCCATTTGTGACTATGTAGCCGGGGGTATCACTATTTTCAACAAAGCGCAAATATAAGATCAAATCCTTTATTTAACGTAGTTAACAACAAAGTGATTAAAAACTGGAGGAAACATTGTCACGAAAACATTGTTTCCGTACCAAATAGTTCATTGTTTGCGCACCAATGAAACAACTTGGCAAACAAATGTTTCCACACTTGCGTGTACCTTTACTATAATGCTTGTTTGACCAAAGCAAGATGTAAGTCAACGGGCAAGTTAAAAAATACTATTGTTTTTGAAAGCCATGGTTTGATTAGCTAAATTAACGAAAATTAGCATGTTACATGTCCGTTCTAATATGAGATTGGTGAGTTCTCCGGCATCGTTTTAGCATCACATCGTTTTTAGGCGGAAATATATAGGTAGCAATGTAAAGACAGTGTCATTAAAAACCAGGATGAAGAAACATCAAGTGTAATTGGCCGCATTTATCGAGGAAGACGTGTTATTCGCTGTGAAATATTGCTTTTCATGATCAAAAGCTTCGCATCCTCACTGCCGCTGTCAAAGCGTTTTCCCCGTTCACGCTAAAACGCTCGAGAACACTGATGAGCTATGAGAAAAACCACAACCGTCGTATACGCATGCGATGTGGTCAGCAACAGCGTTTTCAAAAGCCTACGTTTTCGCTGAACTTGCTAATACGATAGTGCTCCGTTTAAAATTTGATAAGGTCGGTACCTGTACTTATTTATTGGCTTAAGCTTAAAAGGATCCGTTTGTTAACTTATGTTAGGGTGGCTCCATAGGGTAATCATTTTTCGTGTTGCGCGCGCTACTGAAAGCTTGTTGTGCAGTCGTTTACAACCAGGTTAGTCAAACCAGTTTACTCAAACTTGTACAAATGTAATAGTGCTTTACAATCATCTCTGATAATTTTAGTCTTGACTTAAAAACTGCTCTAGAAAATGCATCTTTCACCGTTTATGCGTTTATGTGGTTGTTGTGATTTTCTTGAAGTTTCTTCGGTGAAATCTTCCAAAATTTTCAGAGCACATCGAATCTGGCCGGATAAGAATTCAAACACGATAAAAGAGGTACTAGTGCAAGCATCTCTCTCTTTTTTCGTTTTTTTGCAAATTTATGTTTTTTCCTGACGTGTGAAAACTGGTAAGATAGATTTCCATGAAAATCGAGCTCCAACAAAAGTAAAATATTTATAACGAGTCCGACAAATTTCATTCAGTTTCTCAGTAGAAAATGCGAGAAAACAAAAACACCGTCAGCTTTGCTTTTTGTGGTCATGCTGACGTCATACAATTTTGGAAAACCGTGACGCTTTTCTCTAGCGCCTTTAAACTTCTAAAGCTTCTGTCCTCAGCCCGTGTGCGGTCGTAAGACTATAGGGAGTCGGCATACAGATAAGAAAAAGATCGTAGCCATGTGTGCGTTTACTTTTTTTAAACATGTATTATCATCCGTGGTTAAATCCTCAATGCCGAATCCAATTTTTAAGGCAATTAATGTTAACTGTGTATTCTACCTGCGTTGCGGTAAAAAAAAAAAAAAACAGGAATCGTGAAAAAATTTGTCCCTGATCTGATTAGAAGAACGGGTGATGTTCAATATTTAATGACACTTATAACAATAAACATTTCAGAAGGCTTCTTTTAATTAAGCTCTCGTCAGGTCTCCGACGCTAAGAAGCTTTTGTAAACTCACTGCAGGGCGGACCGGAGAAGGGTGTCCTCCTAGCTTTAAACAGAGTTCATTTGAAGACGTTTCTCGTGATTTTCAAATAGAAAAAAAAAAGAGAGAGATAAGTTTCGCAAATCCAGGCAAAGAGGTTAACACTGTCACATTACCGCAGTGGGACTCAAGGCGACCGCAATTCGTTCAGATAAATCTCATAAGTGTTATTTTTCTTTTATCGATACGTGCTACCGGCCCTGAAGTTCAAATCCCTAAATCTGATTGGCTAACCGCGCAAACTCCGCTAGTCCAGCTTTTTCCAAACGGACGGGATTTATCGGCTCGGATTCCACCCGAAGTAATTCAGTTTGCAGCGAGAAGGACACAGCGATGGAAGCTTTACTGTCAGACAAGAGTTGCTGCTCATCAAAGTAACGTGAACGGATAACTAAACAGTGGAGTAACAAACAGACATTTAAATTCTCGAAAGGCAAGTATTCTTTCAGTCAACAAAATTAATTCGTAGTTTAGTTACCTTTGTTGTTTGCATTTCGTCATACAGTTTAATATTTTCCACGCCATAGCAGCTAAATAAACTGTGAGACTCCGAATTAAGACTACATTAGGCAGTTAAAATATCTTGCTTTCCCGCGTTTTACTAAAACTAAACACTGTGTATACCCTTCATTGGGATAAGAGAAATACTTTAATTACGATCTAATTATTTCTTGTAAGATTGTGCTCATTTCAGCATCATTTTCATCAAGATGTATTGCTTTGGGAATCAATGCACAGGATGTTTCTTTAACAAATGTGCAAAGCTAGAAAAGAAATTGTCTTGCAGTTACTTTTTCTACAGTGAAACAGGCTCAAATACCTAATTTATCGAGATAATTAAACTTCACAAACTGCGATTGATGATTAACCTGCTGCTGATTTGCGATGCCTTTGTTTTTGTGCTGCATTTGAGCTGCATGTAAGCTTATTTCAGTCGCTTCTTAAGAATCTCTCATTTGTGTAATTCATAGCGGAGCTCCCGCGCATGCTAAACGCGCACGCAACCGGAGCCCTATATCTTTAAAACTTTTGTACCATTTCCAAAATTTTGATTTGTCCGTCCGCCATTAAGCACTTCCTTTCGTAAGTAAGCACACAGAGCGCGCGTTTTACTAAAGCGGGAAATCGCATACAGTGTATAAATTAAAAATCTTCCAAGTTAACTACCACCCTGTGTTCTTTGTACAAAAGATTCCTGATTAGATTGCTTGTTTTTTATGGACAAACGGACAGTTTATTTACTCAGGAGGGAAAAAAGAGAAAGATTACCTAAATATTAATTAGGCGCGTTAACTCTTTAGTTTTCAGCAGTGACCAAAATCTCATCTCTCCTTGCAATATCAACACAGGTACTTAATCCGCAAGGACCAGGCGAAAAGGTGACTTGTAAGAATTAAGAAAATGGTCATAAACCATAAATTGGACACTCTTTTCTAGATATTCAAAGAAATTCTTCCGATTAGTACAGAAGAAAATGCATGAAACTAAGTAAAGGGAATTAGAATGTCGATACTGAAGTTTGAACCCTTGTTGATTACAATATTCTCCCTTAAACATTCGACTTTGTTTTCCGTAATCCGTCCCCCTAATCTTTGCCATTCTTTCACCTTTATGATTTGCCGTTACCTCTTTGTTCACTGTGGTTCGTACTTTAATCATAACTGATGTCTTTAGCGGTTTCCTAGCGTCAATTTGACTTAGTCGCCAATGCCGCTTCTTCAAAGTAATTTTATAATGAACGCCAGCAATCTCACGTTTTCCTATCGTTAGCGAAAACATGTACAAATGGCAATGCGTCCTTGTCAAAGGATTGCGTGTACAATCATACTCCGCATACGGAGAACCTTTGTTTACTTTAGGTGTAAGTTCATGGTACAATATGGTACAACTTTATGCATAGTTTTTCTTCGAGATACATGCCCTTACATTGCCGTGAACTCAGCGATCTGCTAACCGAGCTGCCAAACCGATTGGCTTACTTCTTGATCCAAAAAAACATCCATAATGAACATGAACAAGTAGAACAGGGGTTGTGCGAAACTCTAACAGTTAAATCCCTAATCAAAACACACACATATAAATAGCGAAGTTGGCATTTAGGTCTTACGTTTGCCTAACCTGGTTAAGATAAGCCTTTCGCCATTGGAACAAATTTAACTTAATTAAATATTGCTCACCGTTGTAGGCACAGCAATCGGTAATGGCGCTAACAATATCGGCGTGAAGAGAAGTATTAGGTACTTGCGCCATTTTACAAGGCACTTCGCGACTGAGGTATTTTTCTTCGGAGAAATCGTCTGTGGATACGAAGATGAATCCTTCTCTGAATTCTCTGGAGTCTCGCCGGCATTTTCATCGATGGCCACGGACGAAATGCAAGCTACGTTCGTTTTGCCTGTCTCCATTTAGACGGTGTATTCTTAACTTGCGGAGCGAAGGGTGTTAAGTTGAAACTTGCAAACAAATTGTTTTTCTTTCCCACGAACTTTGCGGACGTCAGGTTACTTAAATCGAGCGGGCTCAATCTTAATCACCGAACATTTCCATACGGGTAAATTCCATTTTCTGTTAAGGGTTTCCAGTGGTTACAAACACTGTTCAACTCTGACCAAGTCGTGATTTAATATGGTTATACACACACAGATTGCCAGACCACTTTTACTTCCTTTGTTTTCACAAAGCAGATATAACAATATCTAATGCAGGACTTGTAGAATGAGGTTTTAAGAGTTTGATTAGCAGCCAATCAATCAAAAAAGATCAGGCAATTAATGCAAATAAAAAAGGCACTTGAAGATTTGAAACAACCGGACTCCGTCAGATAGTGACGAAGCTCTTGAATACCAGGATTCGGTTCGTTTTGACCGACATTCTTGAGAAGTAGAACAAGCCTTGCATGACGCTTATACTGCTAAGCGGATATAAAGAAAAACAAAGAAACCTGTAACACTTTGTTTTTTGATTTTTAACAGCTTAAGTAACGAATTAAATGCCGCAATCTAACACGGTAGCCGAGTCTACAGTAGCTCAGAAACCAGCAAATTTTGAAAACCAGCCAAGTTTTTAACTAACGAATGGCATAATTGATCCATCTGGGCCGGCTTGATTTGTCATAAAAACTTCACATTGAGACGAATAAGATGACGGATAAGTAAGACTTATAAGGAAAGATTAACAGCGAACGTCTATGTGCTTGTGGTTACTGGCTTTCAGCCAACCGTAATGTCAACAGGTGAGTAAGATGGCCGACACTTTTTGGAAGCTTTCGGAGCAACCTCACGAAGCGAGGCCAAAAATACCTCGAGATTTGCTCGAGTTCTTTCCATCGATTTTCACCTTTAAAACCCGAGTTTTAATGAAAATAACTACTTTTACCGTTTAAAATTGGATGCGTTTAATTTGATATTAGCATTGAAGTGAAAAAATTGCGAATTTACTAGCAGAAATATAACGTTACGGAGCATTACGAATGACTACGATCTCTAACCGCTGTCCGCAGGAAGGACATTGCAGACTGATTTTCCCACGTTCTTCGGAGTGAAGTAGACAAGGTCTTCATAGTTTTTTTTTTTTTTTCTCATATAACCAGGCACAGCTATCACCGAATGTGCAAAAATGTTGTTCTCGAATAATCTTGCAGGATTTTGAGAAGTTTCCGAAAGGTTTTGATTGGAAATACGAATTACGTGCCTTGAAAGCAGCTATCGAGCAAATAAAATGCATGTTTATTTCATGTGTTTGTTTTCGATTGTTTTATTATAAATATTTGCTTCAGTTACATACAAGATCGATTCTAAAACGCCCTGCTAGCAAAAAGATAACTGAAGCAGGTCGATAAGATCGTTTACATAATTTCTTCATACGGAAATTCTGGATTCTCTCAGTACTATTAAATACCGACAGATCAGGAATGTTTGTTTCACAAATATAAAGAAGAGTAAGTTCCGTGTCGTCTGTTCACCATCGTTGAAGCCGCTAACAGGATAATATTTCCATGCTATCTCTAATTGATGTCATTTTAGTTTTATGAAAAGCTTTTATGAAGCTACAGTAATTGACGTCGCCGTCCTATACGAAAATTACACAACTTTAGCATTTGTCTTTGGCGACACGACGGGACACGCGAAAGTTTCCCGCGCCCACTGCCGCTTCCGTCTTGGCCTTCCCGTCCTTGCATCGTATAAAGTCCCTAATGTTACTCACAATGATGCAGAGGACATAAATGTCAAGCACTCAAATTTTAAAATACTACTTAGCAGTAAGACTAAAACTCCGCAACTATTTTTTATACCATTGTGGTTATTCACTATTCAGTAACCGCAAGTCCTCTTACAGGGCTTTTATTGTATATTGCGACGCGTACCATTTTCAAAATGACGGATCGATCTGGTCCCTGAACTCAACAGCCTTTGCATTCTTTCTAGTGTTATGTTTTTCACAAAACTCGGTCATTAATTTCAGACAAAATTGAACGTCCGAACAACTGTTGCCTTCGTAAATTACAGTAGGCACATATGTATGCAATGCGGACCTATTTTTCATTAGACTGTGCCGAGAAAGCGTCTGTTATCATGTTAATCTCCCTTGTATATCGGTTAACTTATTGATTATTAGGTTGATTGACTGTTACGATAAATGATTTTAATCATTTATCGTAACAGTGATTTTAATCATTTATCTTTTCGTTCACCAGTTGCCCAGTCTAAATCGTTCCATCGGCAAATGAAGGAAAATTGAAACTAAGTGGATCATGACTACAATGTATCCTCCGCTTTAAACTCGAATAGAGCACCACTTGTTGTACCAGTTGCGACCTGGGGCAATTGAGGCTGAGAGCGATTAAGCTAGTGTAAACTAATATAAAATCACGTATGTGGGGACATGATTCATCACAATACGTCGAAAAAGAAAGACGTAAACGATACAATGCAATGAGAATGAGATGCAAATCAAGTATCAAGTTATGATGTTTTATAGTCAGACAGTATAGTTTGTAAACACAAATGGAAGTCAATATTGGCTGCCCGAAGCCCCGGTCCCTTCTCTAACAGAAGCACAGCATCATAAACGTCCCTCTCCGTTTCTTACCGTTCCTTTTACAGCAATGGGTAGGGGCATCAGAAGTATTGGAGTCAAAATCAGGATTAAATATTTTCTCCATTTCAAGATTTGCTTGAACAGCGAAGCCTGGTTTACTTGAAGCGGCTTGCCGTGATCGACGCGGTGAGATATTCTGGGAGACCCATTGCCAATGGGTAACGGCTTGGCTTCTGTCTCTTCGAGATAACTATACCCTCTGTCCCGTTCGGAATCAGTCATTGTCCTTCAAAACTGCAATATAAAATAAACAGATCAAGATCACATTTGCGGAATATTCTGCACAAGTAATTTATGACACCACACATTTATAACGAGGCCAGGATCAAGCCGTGATTTTGCCCATTAAGCCCGGACGTTTATGAATGAACTAATGAAGAATTCTCGCGACAGGTCAGGGATTCAAAACGAATCATTCCTATTCAACATTTACCTTTTCTAACCGTAAATTCGTTCCGGCAGAAGTAACTGATCAATATTCGAAGCGTGTGGTGCTGAAACTCAAATTTGCATAAACTTGATTTATAATGTCACGCCAGTCTCATCTCCCATCACGCGTGTCATATGACTTACCAGTCTGGTCCTATCAAAGGCGGTGACTTCACCAAAGATTGCCAGATCCATAATTACCTCATTTCTGGTGATATTTGTTTTAATCTCTTCTGCCTAGCTTTCGCTTTAAGTCGAAAGCAGTTACCTTTTGATACTTGACGACGGCAGATATTCGTCACTTGATGAATGCTTAACCTTGTGCTAAAATAACGTACTTATTTTATCAAGACGAGGGCAGCATTCTGCAAAGTTAATGATTAATCATACCTTAATACACGATTACAACCAAAATCAACCAATCATATTGCCGCATTACCGGTCCAATATTCGATAACTATTGGTCCGGGCACTGTCCCGAATGATCATTGACTATCACTGTTGAAGATTTCTTGCCTTGTTATGGCTTACGTTTCTCACAGAACTTCAATCCTGGCTAAAAGTCTTTGAGACACTCAACTGCCAACTGTTGGCGCATAATGCCATTGTTATTAAAGAGAGAGATCATCATTCGAACCCCTTCCCCCCTCTCTCTCACGCGCTTACGCTCTCGGATCGCGCTTACGGCGCTTTGCGCCTTCCGAATAAGGAAGAAGAAACGACCGTTTTGCTCTCTAAGACTTTAAGCTGGGATTGTTGGTTTCGCATCAAAGATTCCTTTTCTTTTTCTTCCAGCCCTCTTTCCCTTCTGTTTTACTTAACACCGGGTTAACATCAGACGTGATACTGAGTATACTCCTAGTCGGCGCCCAATCAGAATTGCTCACTTGAAGTTTGCGATGTTTTTCCAGTCCGTGATTGTGGCTTTTTTTCTAATAATTACAAATCTCTTATTAGAAACAAGCTTGCTTGGGACCGTACCGAGCGAATATCGGTCCTCGGTCTTTTTTGAACCGATCATCGCTGCGCTCGGTCCGCACTGTCAACTCCTCGGACCGATTTTCTCCCAGCAAATCCTTCGCGCTTGCTTAATGAGATATACGTAAACGATACTCTGTGATATTTACAAGACGTGCAAAAAACCTTCTTTTTGACCTCCCTGGTAGACTTCACTGCCCGGCATGTCCCAGGATGCCCGTCGATCGCAACCTCTGCAGACTCCTATTCCGCTCTGAAACAAACACTGATTGCATGAGAATAAATCTGCCAAAAAATTCTTGTAAACTTTGTAAAGGAAATGACAGCAATGAAATTCGATGGGAAGTAACTGCAAACAAGAGCACATGATACTGCATTTACTCACAAAGTTTAAAATTTACCGACGTTAATGAACACTTCCATAGTTCATCGGTGAGCAACTTTTGCAAATTAAGTAAAGACAAGGGAACTCGCAAAATCGAATAAAGGAAATTTTGGCCATATCTGCTATGCGTCCTCTTGCCCATTCCTTCTCAGATTTCGCTCGACAGCGAGACAAGAGGGACGCCGAGGCACTGGTGACCCACAACCTGGCAAAGGTCGCGAAAATTGCAGCTAATTTGCATTCAAATAGCTGTGCCATTTCTTAACGAGAATGAAAAAAAATGATCAAAAGCTAAAGCTTTCGTTCGTTTGATTTAGAAAAACAACCCGGAGTGGGAACACATCGCCCCCACCTTCCCCACCCATGAAACAAACTGGTCCCCACGGTGCCCCAGTCGAAATCTCCAGCTCCAGCGAAAAACCATCAAGCAGGCTCTGCTGAATTCAGAAAACGCAATTTCACTTATTATTTACAAAATCTCGATTGTTAAATTGCCTTTACAGTTAGTTATCTGTTTCGAGCGAGACCATGTAAGAAGGAATGAAGCAAAGACCTACAATCGGGGAATTGAAATGACAATTTAAGACCACCCCTCCTCAGCCTTCCCTCCTCTGATCCCCTTCCCCCACCCCCTTCCCCACCGCCCTCTTTTCAACGATGGCGCATTTTGGCTTGAACTAGAATTCATCGGTGATTTGGAGGCAGGGGAAGAGCAGTTTCATTTCTCTTTTTATTCCGTCTACGATTGTGCATCAAACAACGACTCATTGCATGCTACTATCGTTTATCATATACAGCAATTGCTAAAATCGACATCTGGAGAGCGGTTTCCGTACAATGGTAGCAATCGTTGCGATCTTCGAAATAGATCAAGATAGAAGTCTTCGTTGAACAGTTTTTTTGTCATGAATTGTAATCCAATACAACAATAGCTGAAGTATTTTTCGGCGACTACAGCGTTCATATGGAATTTAGCCTTGAAACTCGCCACTGAACTCTCCTACCCGCGGGAACACGCTCCGAATTCTAATGCGATTACTATTTTCTGTAATTTTTTTCGTGACGTAAATTCAGTTTCAAATAGCAAGAAGCCTTTTGACCTTTTTCTGGGGNCGGCAAATGAATCCAAGGTTCAAAGTCTCGCGCAAAATCAGTTGCTGTCTGATTGCGGCATCCTGGGTGTATGGTGTAGTAACAATGCTGCCTCCGTTGTTGGGTTGGACTGGCTTTGTGCCTGGAAATTCTGGGGTGATCTGTGGCCCTGATTGGACGGATATCTCACCGTCTGGTAAGGCTTATAATCTTCTTCTGATCGCCGTGGGATTCGTTGTGCCACTTTCATTGATTTCTGTGTCTTACTTCAAGATTTTCAGGTATGTGTCATTCCCAGCAGTCCATAGATGAACATACTTTCCCAGCAGCCCATAAATGAGTATAACTTGACGGTTTACAAGGAGTAAGAGAAACTTCCATATTAAATGGACAGGATTGCTCGTCGGAAATTTTAAAAAGAACCCCTTAGAAGTACCAAGATCCTGTTTTCTGGGCGTGGCTTGAAATGTTTTTCACCGCTAGGAGGTACCATTCTAAAGCAAGACATTATCTCCTGTCCTAATTTTTCGGCTCAATACCCCAAAAGGTACCGCCTCTGCCTTCGATGTGAACCTTTGGAGGCTCAACCTCCTAAGAGCAACCAAAACCACGTTTTTAACCCCTAAAGGGTACGACGAGCACCCTCTCCTTTTTATACGGGGTCCCCCAAGTTCCCTCCCCCCAGGGGTTAGAGAACCTTTCAAGAACGCGCGAACCTCGCTAACCGCTTCTTTTTACACTGAAAATCATTTCAGCCGACTATTCAAAATGCATGTCAAGTGCCAACCTCGTCTCCAGGGTGAAAAATACCCGGGACGAGGTTTTTCAGGTGCCTGGGTTATAATTTTTTTTCCTCATCTTAATTCTCTCTTCACCTTAGGTGCATGAGACCGTCCCGTTATGACCAACCAAGTCTTTACCTGGCTTTTGATTGGTAGATGTTAATTCGAGAGTACATTGACAGTTCGACATAGTTATGACTGATGAAACCGTGAAACCACGACAACCTTTAGTTGAGTTTTTCAGTTTCAAAGTTCGGGCGTGTTGCCGGGCGATGTTGCTGTCGATTGATAATTGACGCTTATTTTTGCTGAAAAATCGTATTCTTGTCTCACCCCTAGATGGCCAGAATTGTGACGGCAAAATGAAAACAAAACGAGAGTGAATGGGAGTTGGAAAGCTTTCGTTCGCTCCATTTCAAACCGCTAAAATCTGCATGAAAGTCGCCGTGTTATTCTTCTGCTTATATCTGCTTACTCACAAGTCGTTTGACCCGTAAACGTGGAGGACATTCAGTAAAAACTGCGGAAAACTTCACCTCCAAATGTCGACAGATTTCAACCCTTCTCAACCTGCTCGTTCTGATGCATCTTGAAGAATAGGCCAATGTTTTCAAGTTTGTCGTCGTTATAATCCGTGTTTTAAAATCTCCCCCAGTCGAAACCAGTTTTGTTTATTTTTGGTTTCTTTGCTGCTTTTCAACAGCTGGAAAACAATTATTCTGGTTCTCTTTAAGTGGAAGTACTTTTATACATCAGAAAAAGTGACATACAGTAAAATGTGCTATAATAAGCACTCGGCTTGTGCTTGATGAAAAAAACAGAAGCTGTCCTAGTGGGTTTTATTTCGGTAGTGCTTACTATTGAAGAAATTTTGCGGTTTTAAAAATTTTCGAGATTCATGTTTGGAAAGAATATCAGACCACAATACGTCTGAAAAAATTTAGTTGTGTTTAGGGTAATACCGCATGATAAAATTATCTAAACATAATGATATGAAACTCGACATAGGTTTTAAGTCATTATTAAACAAACAGGAGTCTCCCAACATTTTTTTGGGGTGGTGGAGAGCTTATTTCAGATGGAATTTTAGCGTCTTTACTCGCGGAGAGGGCTCACTTTCAGAAGAGCGTACCTACTTTGCAGGGCATTGAGGAGGGCTGGGGATAGGGTGGGTAAGTTATTTTCGTCCACGGTAGCTTCCCTAAGGCCTCTTCAAGAAGAAAGACTCTGACTTAATAAAGACAATTCAATTTAAGTTGATATCACAAAATTAACAAAGCCCCCTCAACGCCAGTTGCTCTTCAGCTGTCCGGCGAAATCCTTCTCTCTGTAGCGATGAAAATATACTGAAAAAGCACTAACGTACCCACAAAGACTGCGAAATACAAACGCGAGAACAAAACTCAAAACTCCATTTTGATTCTTGCCCTCCTTTTGGATTTTTCTTGTGTTTTTATGGACGTTTGAGCTCGCACGTACGTTTTCCTTGCTAATGAAAACCAGGAAATGACTCCAACTTTTACTGACACTACACAGAAAAGGATTTCTCCTGACAGCTGAAGGGCAACTGTATTTGAGGGGGTTTTGTTAATTTTGTCATATCAACTTAAATAGCCATTATTAAGTCAGGGTCTTATCTTCGTTTAGTTTCAAGACAACCGACCAATTTTCTTTATCGCTAAGTTCCTAAATTTTTAACTCAATTGTTAACCATGAATTAAGCAGCACTTGCTAAAGATTTCCATTTTAAATGGTTATGAATGATAGATAATGTGGTTAAAAACAGATGAATTTGCGGTAACAGATCCCTCCACGATCAACATGGCGCCATCTTAATTGGTCTGTTATTTTATTTCTGCCATGATGTCTACCTCCAAATTAGCTGAGAAAGTCTTGCGTCGAAAAGTGACAAAAATAGCCTTTAACTAAAGCAATATGTAAAGTCCAGTGTAACTTTATTGTTGTACAGAACGTAATGCATGTGAGTTGTCGAACAGGAAAAGCGAAAGCGCACATAGGGTAAAGGTAAAAATCTTCAAGATGATCTTTTCTTTAAAACACCGTTAGATATATAAATACACATGTAAAAGAGGTCAAATATTTCATAGATAACGCTGTTTTCTCAACTTAGTTAACCATTACTTTGAAGTAAAACTTTCATATAAAGGCAATCTTGTGTATCACTAGGAGGTCGCGTAAAGACTTACTACATAAAAAATAACTTTTTTTCTTCCTGCAGGATTCTTCGTCAAGACGTCGTCCCAGAAAACAATCGCATCAGGCAGCGGCGAAGACAATGGCAAATAAAATTAGCGCGCCTGACAGCAGTTGCAATGGCCGCTTTTATGCTAAGTTGGTCTCCATATTGTTTCGTCAGCCTTGTCAGTATTTTCAAGGGCGACCATTTACTTTCTCCCGGTGAAGCAGAAGTTCCTGAACTTATGGCCAAAGCGTCGGTGATTTACAACCCATTCGTGTACACCATTATGAATAGACGCTTTCGCAGGACCCTAAGCGCCATGGTATCGCGCTGCAGATATTGTAAATGGCGCCATTTCAGGAAAAACAAGGACTCAAGCACTTACATTCGGGAGTGCGATACAGAAATTAGATTTTCAACTTTACAATTTCCAAGTCGTTATCAAAAATCAAGGTCAAGTCTGCGTGAGCCAAGATGTACTCAGGGGAGTAGTGAGGATGGGGCGTATCAGGAGGAGGGGTAGGAAAACTGCCCCCCCCCCCACCCCCTAATGAGTAAAGAAGTGCTTGCACGGTTCAGCATCTGATGACTGCAGACTTTCTCACCTCATGCATAGTGCAAAGTGTCTGCAATGAAAATACAGGTGCTACTACTTCGTTAGATGTTGCCTTTGACTGCGACGGTAAACTGAAGGCAGAAAACATTCGCTTGGCGAATATTCTGTGAGCGACATCTCAACAATGCATTTTCGTGGCGAAGCCGACGAATACTGCGACATTGTGAAGAACATCTCTATATTATATGTGGCATCTAACGTTTATTTACTCACCTTTCGATTTCAAATAGCCCTGATAGCTGCCGGGCAAAGCTTCCTGGGGCCGGAGAGGTATGGCCCTACCACTTACTTGGTGCCTAAACTACTTGAGCTTTGCGAAGCTCTAGTTTAAAACGAGAGAGTTGAATAACGCGAAATAGAAGAGATTCAGAAAGGACTGGGTGGCAGCCGAAATGACTGGCACGGCCATATTCGCGCGTCACATCAGAAAACAATACGCCCTTGTGAAAAGTAGCTCTTACTGAGCCTCCTAAGCAATCAAAGCGATCGACTAAAAACGAGTCTTGCTAGTTTTGATATAAATCTGGCTTTTGCAATAATAGGTTAGGAAATTCGTATGTCTGTTGGAGGCGCCCACCACATTTACCATTACGTCACTATGTGGGCCAACTGGGTTCGATTATCTTGGAAGCCGGGAAGATTCGAAGTTCACATCCAAAACTGTTAACTGCTGACGTTAGTTAAATGGGAAAAGAGGGATATCTAGAGAAATCTTGAAATAAACAGTAAATATTTGTAACAACGGCTTATTACAGCTTCATTTACGTGTTGTCTTGCGCTTTGTAGTTACACAAGTAGTTCCAGTATGTAATATGCGCGCTCTTCTCCGGTTTCAGGATTAATCAAAACTATAACAAAATTCTCGAACGTGATTGGCTATCAGCAGCCCGATTTGAGCATTAATTGGACAGTGTACGCGTTATGCTTGTAATTGGACGGTACGCGTCATTTTGCNGCACTTTGTTGAGTAAACTGCTGTGTTTTTCAGCATTTAGTACATAACGACGTTTTAAAATCGTTCAGCGCTCAATCGATGGTTTGTTCGTCTCTCGAATTTTGTCATAGTTTTGATTAATTGGTAACAGGGCTTCGCGTCNGTCCAATTCAGTCTTTAATCATACACGTGATTAACAAATCGGACTCCCGCTTCGCGGTCGTCCGATTTTGTTAATCACTCGTATGATTACAGACCGAATTGGACTCCACTCAGTCCTATTACCATTATTAATCAATTTTTTTCGTGTTCAAAATGGCTGAATGATTACGCTAATAGTGCCTACATGTCAACCGACAGACAAAACTGCAATTGCTGGTTGTCATGAGCTGAAGGTGTGCCTGAGACCTGCTAGTTTGGAATACTAGCTATTTCAGAATAAGGAAGCGTGTATCACAGATACCACATTCTCTCGCATGCAGGTCCTCATCACTGATTCGCTCTAGGGACTTGATTTATCTCTTCTGATTGATAATCAGCGCAGCAGCTAATTTAGTATTACACTGCCAAGCTTTAATTTTTCTCAGTTGTGCCTGGCAGACAGTTTTGTTTAACCTTTCATTTATAATAGCGGTTATCTATGCGTTGAGAGAGAATACAGGATACTTATTATAATCATAATAAACACTGCCTTGCGACTTGAACCAGAAAGATAAAGAGAGATCGAGTTGTTTTGGCGCTAAATTTTCAGTCTGTTTAAGTTTTCTGGAACCTTAAAGAAGGTAGTAATGCCGATAAGTCATAACTTTTCTCTGACGATTTCGCGCCAAAAAAAGCAATCTCTCTTTAACTAACTAGTGCTTGTCTTTAACGAGTGCATTTGCCTAAAATAGATGTATTTATTATTTATTTAGTTATACCATTTTCTCTAACTTGGTTATATAGAGCATGTCGCTATAGCAAGAAACTATTATCTATCGTAGTCTCTTGGTTATAATTATTGTGAAATTTTAGCCTCAATCTTTATTTTTTTCTGCAAGTTAATGAACCTTGAAATTCATCGGCTTGGTCCATAAAGATGCAAATAGGAACTCGACCAATATTGGTTCAATCTGGACTTCAAGCTAGTTCAGCAGAACCTGTGTGATAACACGGGAAGAAACCAGTCAAACTATCTATTGAATTTCTAGCCCTCCTATTGGTTCTCTTCTCATCCGTTATCAGGGCATAACAGACAGCTGACCTTATTTGGTAAATCAATGTCTTGAGATCTGTTTACAATTTTGTTTGTCTTTGGAAGAATTTTCTCTAAAGGAGGTGAAATCATTAAATATACGGAGCATATTACCATGGAAATGTAATACAGACAGTTTGACGTGAGACGTGTAAGAAAGGCCTTATAAATGAACTACAAAAACGACAGACCGAAGACGAAATACAGCAAAGAATTTAGGCAAAGAATTTCGTTGAGAAAGTGAAGGATTTTCGCCATGGTACTTTACGTAAATATACAAATAGATATTGCTTTCGTTAAAGTCTGTTATACCTGCCAACTCTCACACTTTAGAAATGACTTTGATTCATTAGGGTCAAGGGACTCTCATGGAAAAAGGACGGGGGTGCTCGTCGCAATTCGTAGGGGTTAAAAAAGCGGTTTTAGTACCTCTTAGGATTTTCAACCTCAAAAGGTACACAGCGGGAGTTTTTTGTGGTAGCTTTTAGGGTATTGAGCCGAAAAAAGGTCAGTGACAGTTAATGCCGGTGTAGCTTTAGAATTGATACCTCTTAGGGGTGAAAATCATTTCAAGCCACGCTCACAAAACAGGATCTTGGTTCATCTTACCGTTTTTTTCGAAATCTCCGACGAGCACCCCAAGCCTTTTTATATGGGAGTCGCCCAGGGGTTCGAAGACTTCGATGCCATGCCAACTGACGCCTTCGAACCAAACTCTCAAACTAGCTAAGAAAATTTGAGCCGTTACATCATTAGCTAACACCTACTCGAAGATATATATAGTGGAAAAATAAGGTTTGTGTAAATGACAGTATATTTGCCCAGTTCTCCAATTTTCTAGGTAGTTAAAAGTACTGGCCGCAACATTCCTGGAAATGTTCCAAACCCCGTAAATCCCTGGGATGTCCTCAGAAATCTCCGTACATCTTCGGATATGATCGGGTCTTCTTCGAAAACCCCACCACTCTTAGGATAAGAATCTTACTCCTTCCGGAAAAAGTTGGCAGGTATAGATCATGTTTCGGAATATAGATATCCACGCTTTCAGCTACGACACTTGTGCAATATCCACAACGTACATACCAGTGAAGGAATCCCTCTTCTTCAGCGGTTTCACAACAAAAGCCACGTGCCTTCTTCTCTTATTAACCCGGTCATTACCGTCCTGATACTCGATATTTTCACAGTATGTCCGCGGAGATATATTCCGTCTGACAGGCGCCACAGAAGAATGAATTTTACAGGAGATAAGTCTCGTCAGACTCCCTCTAAACCTATCGTTCATTGCAACGTACACAATAGGGTTATAGATTACAGAAGCCTTAGCCATCAGCTCAGGGATTTCGGCTTCCCCGCTGTTGAACACGTGACTGCCCTTGAAAACTGCGGCGATGCTGACGAAGCAATATGGCGACCAGCTTAGCATGAAGACAATTATGGCTGTCACAGTCATGCGCACTACTTTGGTCATGTACAGCTTTTGTCGCAGCCGAAAGTCTCGGTTCTCAGGGGTGAATAATTCACGGCGCAGTAACCTGCAAAGTATGATATTGCCGATAACTAAGGTTTCCTGATCAAACATAGTGTGCCTTCAAGACTGGTACTCCTACTTTCACGTAATTGTTATCACTTCACTTTACAGTCTAATAGAGACAACATGTTTTTAAAGTTCGGAGCTAAACTAGTTCCCAAGTGATAAGAACCCTAGATTTTTAAAATTTGATGACATCTGAACGACGGGTAATCAAATAGTGACGAGTGAAATTAGGAAATAATCTCGCGCGAGGGAAATAATAAAAATTTAATTTGACAAAACGCAAGTGAATTTTTGTTTCTAATTTCACGAGTATGCCACTTGAAGACCTTTTAATATCATGGCTGACAAATTACGTTTATAATCGTAGGTTTTTGACTTGGTTATATATGGTTATGATTGTACCGAGAAATTTAGCGCCAAACGTTGCCATAGCAATTTTGTAATTTCACGTGTGAAAGTTTTAATTAACGCTGAAATTTTGCGCCAAAATTAAGGAGTAACTCGTCACCCATGAAATTATCCGCTATATCTTCATTGATGAAAATTACTAAAATCTGAGCCGGCCATGCAGTTGCATTGATCCTAAATACAACCATCTTCTACTTACAAGTAGAACAAATCATAGAATTCAAAACCATAATTTGTCAATAGTACCTGTAGATTCCGTAGTAAGCCCTACACATTACCGAAAGAGGAAGGAAAAAGCCAACCACCACCAACACCAGACTATATGTCATCCCTGAAGTTGATTTGTCTGTCCAATCAGGTCCACAACTGATCCGCGCGGCACCTGGGGCAAAGCGACTCCAGCCTATCAACGGCGGAGACATAAATAGCAGTCCATAGAACCAGCTGCCAGCGATCAGCCATCCTATTTTCTTGTTAGAGAGTCGAACGTTGGGGTTTGCCTTGTGCAAGCTGTAGTTGATGACCAGGCTCATCTCTGTCAGAGTGATGATACCCGAGATTCCTACGGTTCCATTGATGAAGGCGTTCCACCTTAGAAGATGAGAATCAAATTAACTATGTTATGTTCTAGGTGATGTTCTATTCTCATGCAAAAATTTCCTAGACCTTAGAATGTGCGATTCAAATTTACCATGTCATGTTTCAAACAATGTCCTATTCTTATTCAAAATCTTCTATTGTTAGAAGTCGTGTTTCAAAATTTCTGTATAGTACGCCTTAATTTTGCAGCTTTACTGCAAAGAAAAAACGCCCTAAAATTATGATGCGCACCCCCCCCCCCCTCTTCTGAGATGAAGCCTTCTTCTTCGTATTCACTTTTAAAATTTGTTTTCCTCACCAGTCAGTTACGCAATTTCCTAGTGGTGCACCCTCTCTAAGAAAAATCCTGGATTCGCCCCCGTGCGTAGGGTTAAGTGAAACTCCCTTTTTCATTGTGACTTACATGATGTAAGGAATGGCAAACTAAGATTGCTTCGGCATATTTGACTATTTTTCCGCATCAAAATTTAGGGACAACTAACAAATGGCACCAAATTCAACACCTTCATTTAGTTCCGCACCTGCAGGTCGGATCGTCTTCACCAACTTGTCCCCCAGTCAAGAGAAGAGTCATGACGACCGGATATCCCAACACAATGATGATGAGACTTCCTATAGACAAGTTAATCATGAGAGGGGTCAGAGCTTTACGGACATGCTCCGGTTTGCGTAAGATGAGAACCGTCAGCGCGTTACCAATGAAGCCAATAGAGAGGATGAGAAACATTACTATCCCGTATGTTAGGTACCAAGCGTCATGCCAACTGAAAATGGTTCCATGTTCCTGCTCCTTTGAATTTGACATGTTTCTTTGTCAAGGAGAACTGAAATGTTAAATGTCTTTATCGCTGCACTTCTTGACTTGTCTAAAGAACAAGGTTTCTCGTAAGTTCTGTGTTTAATAAAGGAAAATGAAGAAGTTTAGCAAGATGTATCATTAAGAGATGCTTACTAATAGCCATTTCCATTTCCAAATGCCAATTTTCATGATTTTTAAAAGAATCTCAACATTACAGGTTGAATTCGTAAAAAAGAGCTGCGCAGAAATTTAAAATTTCAAACCACTACTAAGACTATATTTCTACATTTGCTTTGCTCGTACACAATCTTTACCTTAACAGCTTTGACAGCCGGATTACTGAGGGTAGCGTGGCCGAGTGGTTTAGGGAGCTGGTGTTGTAATCCAGAGGTCCCGGATTCAAGGCCTGCACCCTGCCGCTAGCTGGATTTGTTTCTCGGTAGTCCCGAGTTCAAACCCTCGGTCACGCTTTGTAAATAGCCAACTGGTCTGCCTCCTGGCAGTTGGGATTTTTAACTATTTTACGTTTATTTGAAATATTTGTTCGTTTGTTTCAGTGGCATGCTTGTAAACTATAGCTAAGCTTAGTGCTTGTATTGCTAAGTGCATGATCACTCTAAATAAGATTTACATTTTTTTTTTTACTCTCACACAACTAAGTAATTAATGTTTACAAATTTCTGTTTTTGTGGATTTGGTTTCGCCTAAAGTTTTTTCCTCTCTCAAGTTTAGAATTAAATAGGGAAATCTTGGTTTAAGCTCAGATTAGTTGACTTAGATTCTCGTGACATTTCCAAATTGAGTAAGCTTTTAGTCCAACTTTTTCCGTTGATATGATATCTAAAAAAGTTTGAATCTGTGTTCCTTCTTGTATAAATGGCCTTATCAAGGCGATGAACATTTTAAATCTTTTAGTACACGTATTGTCATCGGCAGTTATCTTTCAACTTCAAAATCGCTCGGGGTATAACTTTTTTTCATCAGTGAAGATCCTAAGTGAAGTAAAATTACCGTAGTTGCTTTCACGTTTAAGAAATACTTACTTCTATAATGTTCCTCTATTGGAACATTCTCACTCTCAATATCTGTGAAACATTTGGTCACGAAGAATTTGAAGGAATTAAAAGGTTGCCAAAAATTAACATATCCTCTAACTCCGTGATTTGAGTGAGATATATTGCTTGAAAGGACAAACCCTTCCTATACCCACACTCTCAAGATCTCTCAAGTTTGCGACGTTAGGCTTTCACACTGTCAAGAAAACACATTATGTTTTCATTGCATATAAGGCTGATTTTCCGAATATTAATGACAAATCGCTACCTGATTCCTATATAAGTCCAACCTATTTTTAACCCTTATTTAAAAATCCTACCTCAAACTGATTTAGTCAAAGGACAGTTTCATGACCCCAAAAGGTTAAACGTTGTTTAACCCCAAAAGGCAAACCGCTGCTTAAAAACATGAAAAAAAAAAAAACATCCGGATAACTTTAAACGGCTATAAAAGTGTATCATCTTGAAGTAAGTGTGAATGAAACAAATTAACTCGACACAGTGGCCCATTGCTCTAAATAATACTCAAATTTCTTTTAAGTACGATTCGGAGATAAAATGTTCTGCTATGAAATTAATCTTTTATCAGTCAGAAAAGCCATCAATCTTCCGCTAGTATGGAAGAGGCCACCTGCAGTCATGTTTATTAGCTTTTCTGCCGTCTCTTCTCAGCTTGTATTTCGGTGAATGGAAGAGATTAAAGTCATGTTAAGAAATTAGTTCCAACTGCATGAGGTCGAATCGGACGAGCAAATTGCATGTAGTCAAAACAAAACAGAGCAGGTTTGATTCCGCAAATAGAAATCTCTTTGAAGGAACTAATAGTGGGAAAAAAATAGACAAACGTTACTTTTACGGTTAACCGTTAAAAAGAAGGGCCGCAATACGCTTAATTTTAGGAGAGTCATGCCGTTGTTATTTGCCGAAAGATTAGTAACCGGAAAACATCAAGTATGCTTCTAACCAAAATATGAATAATAAACATACGTCCATAACATGTCAGTGGGAAATGACCAATGGGCACTTAAATTGGGAGCACCGAGTTGAAGAGCAAAAAAATAAGTGCTAAAATTCATAGTTTGCTTCAATTCTTTGTGGCAGAAAGACAAACTTGAGACAACCATTTAGAATATCACAGTTACTTTATGCCTCTCTGTTAACAAAAGAAATTTGATGGAAAACGATTGATCAAAATTGGGAAAGCGTGAAAGAAAAGGTTGGAGGTAGCAAATGTCTCTCATATCGCAAAACAAGATCCCGGCACTTGCAGGAATCGTTGGCCGAGAAATTCAACAATACTAAAACACAATCGGCGCATGGCGGACAAGAATATAAACGGCACTGACCGCCAAATAAAATTTTATGATGTTCAAAAAAATATACATTGAAAATAAAATTGTGCTAAAAAGTCAAGTCATTAGCGGACATTTCAGGCCAGGCCCTTCTTCATGTGCTTAGTTTTGAATGAATTGGTAACAACAAGAAACAGGTTAGAAACATCTGCGAATAATTTGACTTTTTGGCACAATTTTATTTTCAATTTATTACTTTTGAACTATCCACACCGTGCCACGCTACCCACGGATCCATTTAGAACACTGATATTTTTTGAAATGAAATAATGTTACCAGTTAGAAGAAAAATATTTGATCAGGTTTGTGATGGTTTGACTGTCAAAAGAAATAAATAATAAAAACATGAACAACGTTTCTTTTGAAATTTTTCCTTCTACATGCTTTTACCTTAAGAGACTTCTTGATTTCCCTCCTGTGTTCAGATTCAACAGCTCCAACGGTTCGAAATTTGAAAGTTTCAATCAATGAAGTGACCTTTTCATTCCGGTCTGGCTGTGAAGCCAAAAGTCTCCGGCTATCGCGCAAAGAACACGCACAGGTTGTGAAACTCTTCCGAAGATGCTCTATCATTTAACACTGATTACATCAGTGACGCTTTTGAAATTGCAGCGTCCTGATTAGAATATAAACTTCTGAGGTTATGTAATATAGCTGTGGTGTTTACTGCGTGATGTAAAAACAATTTACCTTGGAAAAGTAAAAACATTGTACCAATCTGTTATTGTTTGTTGTTAAACAGAACGAACAGGGGCAAAAACAGGATTTTTCAGGGAAGGGGGGGGGGGGGTGGCTGGTTGGTACCCTGGGGTTGCAGAATCAATGGGGCATGCCCCCAAAATGTTGCAATATTTGAGAACTGGAACGTTAATGAAAACTGTTACACTAGAAGTACTAGCAATTCGTCAAAGTTGAAATTACAATGAGGTTCCTGTCCAGAGTGTTTCCTTTTATTTCTACCATAATTGCCACAATCTTTTTCAATTTTTCTAATTGTGCTTCTCCAAAGGGGGGTGGCTAGCCACCCAGTCGCCCCCCCCCCCCCTCGCCCTCGTAAAGCCCGGACGAATCAGGAGCATGCAGCAAGCATTAACTATTTGAGTGATCTTTCAATTAAACTTTTTTATCGCATTTTTGTTTTAAACAAAACTTTGCCCCTCGGCGAAAAGCCCTCAAGCAATTGCATTTTGTCAATAGCACGGCATTTGTTTGGCGTTATCTATACTCGTTACGTAATACTGCACTATGTTCCCACCAGTCCAAGCGAACGTCTACCCTTTTTTTCCTCAATAGGTATACTTTTTCTCTGTTTGTTCTTTTTATCCCCATGAAATACTTATTTCATTGGGGAAACTCAGAGAATAAAGTGAATATTGAAGTCCCGGGCTTGTTCAGAAGTTTTTACTTTGTTTAATAAGGGGCAATTATGGCATATAGTTTTGCATTTGAGGAAGATAAATATGATTTACATGGAAAATCTTTCTTTGTTCCCGAAAATAAACCAAGCAAGCAAACATCGCAGGATACAGTTGTTCGCGGTTTTGAAAACTGGAAAATAACAGTGCTTGATAAATGCCATCACTTGTTCGTTCGAAATAACTAAAACGTTTACCTGGCATCCAGTATACGTAAAAGAGGCTGCATGGTTTAATAGACGACAGAAAAAAACAACAACTGACAACCCAGTCAAAAATAGAACATGTTTTAACCATAAACAACAGCCGACTAACGTAACAGATAAATTTGTTTTGGGTATTTGCAAATTTTACGCCCGAAACGTTTGCAGTACGAGACATACACAAACTTCATATCTGGAAACTAGTCTGACAGTTAAATCTGGACAACTTGGCTCGATGAGATTATATTAAACACAAGTGGTGGGTCTAGTGGCGTGAGATTTCACGCAAGAAAGGGATTGAAACTTTAGCTGATAACGCCAAATGTAGCGCTTATTTAATTAATGTTCAGAATGTTCTGTCTCAAAATATTATTTACCTGTGTTTATATTTTCTTTAATCATATTTGATCGCTTTCAGTTTGGAGGCGTTTTTGTTTGCTTATGACCAATTTTCTTTCAAGGCTTGAAACCTATCTCTCAGTGAGTGTTTACCAACGGAATGAAACTCCTCAAAAACTCTTGATTGTAAATTTTGATATCTAAGTAATACTTGAAAAACAACCGAGTCTTTTTCCGTCACAACGCAGTAACGAGAATTCGTAATATTACTGAGTTGTGTTCGGGGAGAGTTTTTTTTTACCGTTAGAAGAGTTCATTTTAATAATCACTGAAAGGGTGGATTTACCTCGTTTCCTTAATTTTTTTTCTCCTGAACAAATGCTGTTTTTACAGGTATGACAAGATATAACTGATAAAAATCGTGCCCAACGCACGCCTTGAGGACCAAGTTTTATATCTTCGATGGACAACATGGAATTACATAAGAAAATCTTTAGAAACTTGAAGATAAACTAAAATTCAAACCATTATCGCAGTTCAGTTTTATCATTTCGCTTTATGTTAAGTGACTTATCTTCTCAAATGTGCACTTAACTGAAAAATGAGAGAAAACTGCTCATTGAGGACGACATTACTATCGATGTTATACAAGTGAATTTATAACAAAACATACATTGGATCTGCAGAGAAAGATAGGAAAACATGATTGATCATCGCAGTTACACACACAACTTGACTTAATTTCACAACTGCTTAATTAAGTTGTGTGTATCACTGCGATGATCAATCATGTCTTCATATTGATGTTAAGCTCGTCAATGTTTTGTTACCTGTTGTGCACATGTCGCTGTTTTGATAAATTTCACACATTACAGGGGGCGTATTATCATTAAGTGGCTGGAGGAAAGTTTACGATTTTCAGGGTTATGTTTACATGTACTTGATTTGAAGATGAGAGAAAAGAGGAATCTCTTATATCATAAATCAGTTAAGCTGAGAAACAAAATGATGGCTATAATTTTATCATAAGGTATGAGAGAAGTTTGGATAATTAGTTAGTTTTATTAATTTATTTGTTTGTTAATTGATCAACTGGCCGACCGCTCCTCTCTATGATCAGTAAGTGAGTGAGTGAGTGAGTGAGTGAGTGAGTCAGTGAGTCAGTGAGTGAGTCAGTGAGTGAGTCAGTGAGTCAGTGAGTCAGTCAGTCAGTCAGTCAGCCAGTCAGTCAGCCAGTCAGTCGGCCAGTCAGTCAGTCAGTCAGTCAGTCAGTCAGCCAGTCAGTCAGCGAGTCAGTCAGTCAGTCAGTCAGTCAGTCAGTCAGCCCGTCAGTCGGCCAGTCAATCAGTCTGTCAGTCAGTGAGTCAGTGAGTCAGTGAGTCAGTCAGTGAGTCAGT